AGATTTTTATGGAGTGTACCGCCTTTTCAGGTCACTATTGTTCTCTCTCTACACATATAGAACCAAACGTACCTTGCACGTGCACGATAACTAGTTGTATATAAAGTATTGCGTGTGTACCTTTATAGATACATGCTGAATCTATTTACGGATTTAGAGGAATTTGTACTTGGATTCGCAGTACTGAGATGTTTGTTTATTTTGGGGTACATTCTATACTACGTTTGTTTATTTTGGGGTACATTCTATACTATGTTTGTTTATTTTGGGATTGATGAGTATGAGAGAACAATAAATACTTTTAATCTACATGGAATTATATTAGTTGTAAGGCCATTGTTTAAGGATTTACTACGTGCCAACTACCTGTACACGCTTGGACCCCAATGTCGAAGTTGAATACTCTGCTGTAAAGCAAAATGACAGCAAAATGAGGCATTAGGTTATTAACCACTTGAGCAACCGTGGATGATCCAGACAAACTACTAATATAAAACGCTAAAGAACCTTTTTCTTGTGCAAGATTGTTGACTACTGTTGCAAATAGTAATAATACAGCGAACGGAAGGCGTGAATCTAGAACATTGTGCATAGGGTTCTCTGTATTTACTTGAGAGGACCCTTGTTCCCCAGTACCACCTCCCTCATTCTCTGGTTGCAAAACTCAATGAGTGCCATCCACAACACATTTAGGATGCATTCCAATGTAGCCTCCGCGATGAAATTTGCGTGGCATGCGAAACAAGGGAAATTCAACAGTATATGATTAATTGACTATTAATTATTACGATACAATCTTAAAAAAATAGATCTACATGATTTTTAAAAAGCATTTATATAAAAGATTTTTTTAAAAAAATATGTGCTTTATAAGTTTGGAAAGCGTACTCAGCATAAATGAGAGAGATACAAATGTGAAACTCACAACTGAAATCAACCTAGTCCGGTTTTCAAACCGTGATTCCGTAGTGTTTCATCCATCGTCTAGTTCCCCAGTTACCAATGTATACCAATCTATACTTTGTACAAATTATAACCCACTAAGTCTAAACCTCAACATGCAACCATGCCACATTATCACCCACTAGCAATAATTGCATATTTAACCTCATGCAACCCATACAATATCATCTACAATTTATTTAATTCTAAAAATCAACATGCAAACATAGCCAATCATCACCCTTTACATCATTTGCACAATATTTTAACAAATTTATCTATTATTTTTTTAATATTTAACATATATTTATCAATATATTTTACGTTAAACGTGGGTATCATTTGTTTCATGGTAAGTACTGATAAACCTTCCTGCTTCATTATTTTTCTCTTTTTATTCCTAACTTAATTGTTAAAAAAATATGCATTGAAAATTACTTAGTAATTCCCGCAGCAAAGCGCGGGGAATCACCTAGTATCAACATAGACTTGCAACCATTTTGAGTTGAATTAGTGAACAGAAAAGGGAGGGAAAAGGCGGGATTAACCGCACACTACTACCGTACCTCATATATACGGATAAAACAACAATAATGCCATATCACAGTCAATAGTCAAACAAAGGAGAGTTGACTGACCTGCAGCCCGGCAGCCCCTAAATTCCAAGTCGCCTCTTGAGTCTTGACGGACCCCTGCCGTCCTGAGACCAATGGTGGACAATGAATGACGACGTTTACAACCACCAAATCCACTGCTCACTGCACACAGACTACTACTACCAGTTTTATTCATCCATCAATTCTATCGAAGCAGCAACCACTCATATCTCATATACACACAAATCTATCTCCCTTATTAGCAGCTCAGCCTCAGCGTGCCATGGCCGGCACAGCAGCAATGAGCTCCTCCTCGTCTTCGTCCCCTTGCATCACCTTCATAGCGGAATCGATGATCCTCCCCACCCGAAACATCAGGCTCTTTGCACCCATCTTCCTTCTAATCTTCTGCCACACCTTCATCTTCCTCGGCATCACCGCCATCCACGTCAACCCTCTCGCGCCCTCCTTGGACAGCATCCACTCCCTCGCGACCGGCGTCCTTGTCCATGTCTACGCGCCAAAGAACACCACCGATGATGGCCAAGGCCAAGCCACAGCGACCGACTCCCTTATTCGAGGTCACGCCATCGTCTACCTTGCGTACCTCGTGAGCAGGCTCACCGTGCAGGTCGTTGCGGTTGTCGCCGGCTGCACGACCTACTCCGGCAAGCGGCTCTCCTTCACCGAGCTGCTCGGCTGGGAGGTGGCAACCACGGAGAAAATCAGAGGACCACTCATCACCGCCATGTTCATGGGCGTCGTCGACCTCTCGACCGCGACTCTCCTCGTCCTAGCGGCACACATGACAGCCTTCGTGGGCGGCTCAAGCATGGCGTCCATCTTAGGCTCCCTACTGTTCCTCGCCGCTCTCGTCCTCTACATCCACCTCGGCGCCGTCATCCCGGTGAGCATCGCCGTGTCATCGGCGGAAGGACGCTGGGCAGCGCCGGCACTCTGGTTGGCGTGGCGGCTCATGAAAGCGAGGAGGAAGGAAGCCGGTGTTCTGACACTCATCGCATGCCTCGTTCCTGCCGCCATTTGCCCGGTGTACACCATTGCTGCTGCCTTGTCAGACGAGCTATTGTTTACATTCTACGTATGGCTGCTGGGTGTAGTATTTGGTTTCTTCCTTCTGCCGGTTGCTCTGCAGCTGCTCTCCACGACGGCAGCCACGGTGTTCTACTACCACTGCGTGGAAGCCCAAGTGGTCGCTCATGTATGTGACGTGTCAGTTGATGACAGGGATGTAGTAGATCAGGTCTGATTTAGTTCCGTCTGTTCATCACAATTTTTATGATAGCTAGTCTGTATTGTTAGCTGAACTGATCTAACACCTTCATATGTTTTTTTTCACACACGTTAATGTTACTGGCCAATCAAAAATAACATGACCACTAAGATCATAAAGGATAAGATAAATACGATGACAGGAAAGAAGGTACAGTGTGGGCTAGTGGAGTCACATTTCCACTCTCTCAAGTCACCTCCACACTATAAATAGGCCTCCACTCCTCACTCTCAAAGACACACCAAGATACAAATCAATGTCACCTTCCTCCGTACTATAACCGGTTGGATAGCCATGATGGATTATCGTAAGGAACTCAGCAATATGGGATGATTTCTCAACATATCAGGAGGGCATAGTTATGAGGTATTAGCCACATAGTTATACAATAGCAAGTGTATACTAAAATGATAATATACTAGGAGTACATAAATGATGATGTTCTTATTTCTTCTCTGCTTAGACTAGACTTATTAACTAGTAAGAGTATTCTAAACTATTCCATCTGTGTGTCAACCTATTCTTATTCTCAATTGATTAGCCCATGCATAAGACTTTGATTTATATAAGTGCGATATGAATTTATAGCATAGAACTCTCTTACCATATCTTTCATTAGGATTAAATAAATACGATACCTTGTAAATACTTTCGGGTGAAATGCTACAGTGGTATAACCATGCGCTTGCGGATTTGTATCTGTAACTCATAAGAATACCGTCTAATATTTCTGGAAACATTGATGGGGTTAAGTTCCTAGTAATATCGTTAAGAAATATCAACAGAGCCTCGAGCGGTGTGGCGGTGACCCTGCTGTGTTAGAGCACGACAAGGTGGGTGGTGCGGCGAAGAGACTCTCACGGTGGAAGGACGGAGGCGACAACGATGCGACCAGGTTGCTTGTAGTTGGACACGGGCATTGAAGGCGTTGAAGGTTGCCTGAGGTGGGCGTTGAAGGTTGCGACAAGCTCCTTTGCACGCGTTAGTCCTCTTGCGCCGGCGGCTTGACGCTGCAAGATGGCCACGCTGGACGGGCTAGTGCGGGGGAGAGGGGATTCATTCTTCTCTCTCACCCTCTCCCTCTCCAACCCACCCACGTGGATGGATTTGGAGCATGCCAGAGGTCGAGATGCTTCTTTGATGGCCGGGCGGCGGCGAGGCATCGGTGCGATGGTTGCGTGTTGAAGGGGATTAGCTGGTGGTGACTGCTGGAGCTGACATGCATTCAATGATGCGAGAGAATAGGGAAACTATGGGCGCAAGCGTAGCCTTCAGGCCGACAATGGCGATGCCTATGGGCAGCACATTCCTCTTGGGTGTTGTTGTGTTTGTTCTCTCCCAGTGGTTTGTTTAGGTGAAAACCACATCTTTGTTCCCTAAGGGTGTGTTGGTTGGACGGATAACCCTAGATGGAATATGGTGATCCAGTTTTTAAGTGTGTTTGGTTAGTGGGCGAGGGTGGATAGGGGAATATCCCACAAAAATGTTGGATAAGTGTATCCGGCCAAATTGGCCGGATGAGGAAATCCACCTTTGCTAATCTTGATTATTAGTTATTGAATAGCAATAGTTAATGTATTTTGTTGTTAATTAGTAATTAACTTATCAAAATTAGTGTTGATTAAATATAATTAGTCTATTTGTTGTTAATTAGTATAAATTATGGCTACATTAATAATAATTAACATATTTTATTATTAGTTACTATGTTGTTGTTTTCATTCAATCCATTCTCATCCACCCAACTAAACAAGAAATTACGGGATGACCACGAACCAAACACATACTGGCAGCACTCTTAACGTTGTTCTCTTCTTTGAGGCGTCCTTTAGAAGAACCATTCCCCGGAGTGTCGAGGCGTCCTTTAGAAGAACCATTCCCCGGGGTGTCATGTACTTGTTTTGTTTTCAGTAGTAGGATCAGATATAGACACGTGGTGTAGCTATCTTTTTTTTTTCCTGACTATAGTCTTCCAGGACTATAGACTTGTATGTTTTCCTGCTATATCAAGAGAAACGTCGCACTATCTTGTGCGGGTTGTTTCGGAAAAAAAAAATCATGTTTGAAAACAAGAATTGCACTGGAGAGCAGAATTAACATCTCTACTGAACTCATCGATCGTGACAAAAGTTGTAAACAATCGTGGGATTTCAAGCTGCTGTACATCTCTGTAGCGGAATATACAAATTACAAACATTCACATTCACAAGGAACCCATCATCCAGCAACAAGCAGCAGCATATTACAGGACACGAAACTGATGTTTTTGTTTCGGGATTGAAAATGCATGGTTGACAACCTGGTTAGATCATCAATGCAAGTCTGCCAATCAATTGACGTTATATTTTCCCATCTGCCAGACTCATATTTAGGGCCATGATAGATCGACCTCTCAATTTTAGCAGTAGAAATCGTGGTTATATATACACGCAGAAACAACACCGACAAGTTGCAATCGAAAAACTAACTGATTGAGGGCAAGGCAGGTGGAGTGTAGCCAAGACCAGAATCCCCGCCAAAGGAACCAGGTTCAACATGTCTAACCTGGCCGTGCTGACGGATATGGCGAAGGAGCCTAGCCAGAAAAGCATTGTTGCAGATTGTAGAACTATCACAGACAAGTGCGACATGACGGCGTGCCCTTGTGATGGCCACATTCATGCGCCTGTTGTCGCCAAGGAATCCTACAGCTCCCAAAGTGTTTGAACGAACCTAACAGGATTGAATAGAAATATCTTAGAGCCTTCATAGAAGTATTAAAGTTGGGTTAAGAATGACCTGCAACTTTTATTGACATGAGATTATATGGTTCAACACGGCATTTGAAGTACCACGGTCACCTTACAGCAAACCAAGAAGGACTACCCTATAAAGACAGCAAAGGAAGTGTGTACCATTGATATGACCACGGCATCTGCCTCCCTCCCTTGGAAGCTATCTATAGTTGAAACCTCAACACCAGAAGCCTCTGGATAATCTTCTAGCCTGTCTCTTAATAGTTGTACTTGCGCAATGTAAGGTGACTGGACGGCAATCGCGGTTGGAGAGACACCTGCACAAATTGTTTTCAGCAGTCCATTCATCAATAATCTGTGCAGCATTAGGAATAAAACAACTACGGGCAAATAAAAAATTAGGATACAAAGTGTGCTGCAAGTTGAACACAAAATCTAAGTGTGGTGTAATTAATTAAAGGAAAACAGGCACATACCACATTGTACAAGGTTCAAAACATGCTGTGAAACTACATCTGCCTCGCCATTGTTATAAAAAGATCCTGTACCAGCAGGGTCTAAATGCTCCTCACAGTCAATATTCAAACTTCCGTACGGCATACGAGTGTCAAGTAAAAGAAAGGCACACCGAGTTATCCAAGTTTCCTGAAAGACGGTAATTTTAATCCATTATCAATATGATGCATACATTAATCAACCATAAAATATAATCAATCTTTTAAAACAAATGCAATTGTTTCTGGATAACAATTCGGACCTCCACACCTTTAATAGATGCATTTGTACCTACCTATTGCAATGGATCTCAAATACATAAAACTTAAGTTATAAGGTTAAAAATGCCAAAATAATCATCCCTGAATACAAAAAACTGCATACATGATTTGCATCAAATAAATCAGCCTCTGCATATACATTCATAGAGGTTGTGTTCCTGTACCAAATTATTCCTACAAACAACACATATGTATACGTAGATCCAGAGAGGAAACAACATTTGAGAGACTCCGTTATAAAGCAAGCCATGACCAACATCCATTTTAGTATAATTATTATGACCTAGAACATTTCGTAGTTACAGCCATGCAAAATTGTAATCAACATATGTCTCATATATCATCTCTTAGCTTCCATTTGGCAAGACTTATTTACACAAAAGGGGATTAAGCTCCAATTATATTGAAAGCAGTTCACATTATGTTGAATTCAAAACGGAGGAAGTCTTAGTATTGCCTACACTTTAAGTCATATAGCAACAGAAAATCTCCATACAATTTATACCCTTCATCTTCATGCAAACTTAATTGTGGTTCATGAAAATAAAATTGAAGTATGCTCATGAACAAGGGCATCACACAAACCATGTTCATTTAGGCATGAAATCAACATGAAAAATTATGTAAAAATGGAACCAAACCCCAATTTAAACTATCAACAAGACCAGATACATTTTATGTAGAATAAAAAAATGAAATCCCTAAGAAACTAATATTAAAACTCAAAAGGCATTGAAAATAAAAGGGCATTTCATCTTCATGCTTTTCGGCAACTGGCATGAGAAAAACTACCCCCTGCAAAATTCTGATAGGTTTATGGAAACAGGAACAGAGAGCATCAGTACCTTGATAAATGGGTAATCAGCAAGAAGATGAGAAGCAACGGATGGGGAGGATTTGAGAAAACCATCATACATCTCGTTAGATGCCCAACTGGCAATTGAATCATGCATTCTGTATTGTGTTGTTAATTTCGTTGTCAGTAGTTCATTATGCAACGATGAAGCTCTTTCGAGTAAAGACATTGCTAGTCCACCTTGCATAGCCTCTCTTGATAAAACAACAGGTGCAAGCTGCCGTTGATCACCAGCAAGAATGCATCTTTTTCCTTGTAAGATAGGGATCCAGCATGAGGGTTCGATTGCTTGTCCTGCTTCATCAATAATTACTAAGTCAAAGCAACCAATCCTCCTCACAAGTGGGTCAGCTGCCCCAATATTAGTTGATAGGACAACATCAGCATTTGAAAGGACCTCTCTGATTATTTCCTTTTCCTTCTTTTTAAAGTTCTTCCCAAGCTGCTTCAACAGTTGACGTATACCTGCGGCTAATGTATCATCCTGTATGCAATGCTTCAAGTCCTTTCTCAAGTCGGATTTTTTCCTCTCGAACTCTTCTGTGAACTTCTGAAGTCTTCTGTTCACAAGCTCTCCCAAGGACCTTGAAGCAACAGATGGAGATATCCTAGCAGGATTTCCAACTCGTACTGTGTCCAGTCCAGTATCTGACAACTTCTCCACCATGTTATCAACTGCTGCATTGCTTGGAGCAGTTACGAGAACGCGTTCACCCTTTCGGACAGCACATGCAATGAGATAACTAAGCAAACCAGTCTTGCCCGTGCCAGGAGGTCCTTGGATTATTAGGACAGGCCTTTTGTTGTTCAAGCCTAGTGTGATAGCTTTTAACTGGGAGGCATCAAAGTCATATTTGTTCTTTTTCAATAGCTCATCATCATGTATTGTTGATTCTCCCCAATCAGCCAGATTATTCTGCTCCATCATCATCATGTCTTCCTTGTCCCCAAACAGAGTGGCTACTACTCCAATGGAAGAATTCTTTTTCTGTAAACCTTTCCTTTGAAGAAGCATCAGTGCTTCACAATTTCGCTGCCAAATCATACACAAACCAATAGGCTAAACGTTCAAGCTTTGTTCATCCTTTTAGTAAAACTTGAAACAAAATCAACATATTTTCAACCTTGTAGGAAAGAATGAAATAATCTGTGATCACAGAACACCTAACATTAGCCAGTCCAGTTTTCAACAAAAAAGTCCTGTCCTGATCACTTCTTCCATGCAAATATTTATGTTAGAAGCCAGTGTTTAGTTTCATCAGATTATGCAAATTTCAAATTAAATTAAAAAATCCATAGTTTTCTACTCAGAAACTAGACCTAGCCCCAATTGCTAATAGACAATCATTTGTAACAAAATTCATTATACCACACCAACGTTAGCATGACACTCGCACAAGAAAATAAATACTGGATTGACACAAACAAAATTTAATTCAGACACAGCGGTAACCACTTACTTTTGGGGATACTGATTTTAATTTTTAAAACAGCAAGATCAGTAATAAACTAATTTATTTTTACATCTCAATTGTCTTCATACCTAGCATTCCTACATAACATATTTAGGTTTGATTTATCATATGCAGAAAGTTCGGAACTTTAAGAATCCTTACCACTCCTTTTATAAACATGTAAGTTAGGTACCTAGGTTGCATATCATATACATATGATATATACATATGTATATGATATGTTGCATACATATGGCTCAAATTTTCGAAAGGGTAATGTTGCATAGTATCAAGTATTAACAATTAAATGGTTTTGTTAGGCTAGGTGCCTAGGTGCCTAAATTGCATTACCTCTTGAAAAAAGATTACTAACAATTAAATGGTATTGTATGGGGAAGAAATTACTTTTAGCCTTTTAGGTCCAAACAGACTGATACTTCTGTGACATGGCTCAGAATGCTAACACCCATCTCATGCATCTAAAGGAAGGGATGCATGGGACTAGGGGTTACATCAACTAAATTGCATTACCTCATATGTAAGTGCGTCAGCCAATGCCTGAATCCTGTCAATCCGCACATTTTTCCCAAAAAGCTTGGAGAACGTAGGATCACCACGGCGGGATTTCAGTGTCACGGTAATGCTGCAACCATCCTCACCAAGATTATATATAAAGCCTTGCATGCAAGATGTGGTAATTTCCCCCCGGTTATCACATGTCCTGATACAAACCATATCCCCAGGAGAGAGTGTGGTTGGAGGCAATCTATGGTTATCTTTCACTCTAAATAGGACCAGATGCTGGCCATCCAACCCTGCACAAAACAAGATTTAAAACAAAGTAATAAATAGGAGAAACTTTAGTTCGTATAGCAAAATCGAGTATCAAACCTCAAGTTAGTCTTATCTGCATATGCATATTTGCATGCATAAATATAAGCAGCCATATCTTACTACGGTACTAACCAAAAAGAAGCAGATAAAAATCACTATCCTGGCAGCACATATTTAGAATTACTAACCAACGAACAATATAAAAAGAGTATAATGCACTGACCAGTTGAACTGCTGATAACATTCAAATTGCAAATGGTATCGCACTGCTCTTGCTGTGACTGCCCATGAGTGACTAAGTACTCTACTGGTTTGAGTGGCTTCTTTGAGTTCCCATCCATCACAGGGGTGGCATTCAGTTCTTCTTGTGTAAACTCCAGCTCCGCATCTCGTTCTATATGTAGAAGGTCTGACATTTTCTTGACAAAGTCTTCAATTTTGGTCTGCATCAACCTTGTCTTATCAAGACTTATGCCAAGAGTACTGTGCGTAGTAGGAGCTTTAGGTTTGCGGGCAGCTGCTCGATGCTGAGCTGAGTTAGCCAATTCTTTCAGAAGCATCCAAGATTGAGTGGTGCGCCAATCAGAAATAAGACCCTGGTTCTGTTGTTTCAACAGAACATCACGGAGTTCCCTTTGAAAGTGGTCAAAGAGGGTAGGATAGTGAGTAGAGGCCTTGAGGCAGAGCGCCTCCTGTCCCTTGGGCATGGGAATTGCTGATAGATAAGGCTGTGCAAGCATCACAAATCCGAGGTTGTCTTCAGATGATCCACCATCCAGTAAGAATGTTGCTCCATCGTTCTGCATTTCTGTGGAAGCATATTTTATAGCCATTGAGTGCATACCCTGCTTTAGCCATTGTACCACGCACCGGCCCAACTCCTTCTTCCCAATGGGGTCGCCACTCTCATAAAGAGTATTTACCCTAATGGACACTTCCTCCGCAGATGGAACACACTCCCCTTCATCTTTTGCTGTCTCCTTCCTCTTTCTCCCCCTCCTCCTCCTCCTTCCTTCCTTTCTTGTACCGTTATCAGTGATGCCATGAGGGAGAGAAGAACGGGAATCAGCCGGAAGTAATGTTTGTTCTCTAGGTCCTGCAGATGAAACTAACAGGAGATGACTTTGCTGTGAACAAGTGTTAGGAGCTGAACTAGAGCTGCAGGGAAAAGATGGGAATGGAAGCAACTTCAGCTCTCTCCTCCTTAGGTGCAGTGCAGTGGCACGAGAAGAAAAGAACCTGAAAGACAGAACATGAGAAGACATGCTCAGCCCAGGAAAGCTAGATATGGAGGCGAGAGGAAGACGAGAAGAAATCACTACCAGTAAGTGAACTTAAAAGGAAAATATTGACAGATACAGCTACATGGGCATATGAGCTTAGGACTCAGGATTTCTCACTGATATTTTGTAAGCTTGATAGCCATGCTGGTGACTTGCAGAGTTGTGGTGAAGGCAAATGCTACGTTACCTTCAATCCATACATATACTAGCACTGGTGTTTACCACTTCCGTAGCTGTGCAGTCTCTCTGTGTTGTACACGTTTTCTCCAGCTACACCTTGCTCCATAGTCTCTGAAGCTCCTCACAGTTCAGTTCTAACCCACCAATTGCCATGCCCTTTTTGATTTTTCACTTATCCCCATCCATTCCATTCCAATGGAAACACCACCACCACATGTTAGCAGGCGACACACATCCTTTCTATATGTGTTGCGTTAAGAATCACATAAAATTCCAGGGTTAATTGGATCCATGCTACTGCAATTTTGCCAAATTAAAAAAATATCACTGCTATTCATCATATCGGCTACGTGCCACTGGAAATTTCTAAAATTGGAACCATGCTACTCCAGTCACTTTTTTCATCTCATCTCTCACGCCGTCTCCGTTCACATCCTTATCCCCCTCCTCTCCACGGCCACGGGTGGCTTCGGCAACCGTGGCCTTGTCGTCGTTCGCCAGCGCGAGCTCGCCGAGGTAGTCGGCCATGGCGACCTGCGTGGCTGCGTGTCCGGTTCGCCGTGGAGCAGCCTTGTGAGGAGCGGCTGCAGCCTATAGCCTGCCGTTGTCGGCCATCTGCTTGATGTTGGAGTCGAAGCGGTCGAGGTTGCGGAGCTGCGGCGGGAGCCACGACAGGCTGACCCGGCTTTGCGGCGAGCACGTCACCCCCTGCCACGACCCAAGAGCACGGCGTCGCGGCGGTGGGGTCCCACGACGGCAGCACTGGCGACGGCGCCGCCGCCGGCAGCAGCGGCAGCAATGCCTTCCCGTCCGCGGCCGGCCGCACCGCCACCCCGGCGACCTCCAAGAACCGGCCGCCCCGGTGCGCCATTACCCCCAACAATCAAGAAACCACAAAAAAACCAGACCAAAAAGAACAAATCTCCCCCTAATCTACAGCTCACGACATGAGAGAAGCTTGCTTGCTAGTGGAAGAGCATATACTAGTGCGTGAGAAAGCCGCAAGGAGAAACTTTGAGCTGGAGTTGCTTAAGCCGCACCCCAATCGCATATGGAGCTAGGCGAAGAGATCGATCGATTTGGTCTTATCTGCGTGTCTCGGGGTTGGAGGAGTATTTAATGGAGCCTATGAACCGGCGTGGCACCTCCCTCCTCGTCGCTGGCGCGGAGGCGTCCGCGCCTGCCGCTCTCCCACCTCGCTTCCGCGTGCGTGTCCGACGACTCCGCCACGAACCACGCCAGGCCCGGCCGCAACCGCTCCGGCCTGTCCTCCGCTCCGGCCGCGTGAATGCCTGGGGGCTGGAGGGGATGAGGATGGCAACGGAGACGGCGTGAGAGATGAGACTGAAAAAGTGTTAGAAGCAGCATTTTTTTAATTCGGTAAAGTTGCAGCGGCATGGATCCAATTAACCTTTTTAAAAATACAAAACTTTCTTCCTCCATCTGTACATGTAACCGACATCCGTTTAAAACTGGCCTATCCATGTACTGAAGTTTCTTCCTCTTCAGAACATCAGTGTCGCGGCATCTTGATTGCCATGTGTAGCAGCTCCTAAGCTAACAATAAAGCCATTCAAGACCATCGCAAGCCAAGAACCACTATTGAGAAAGGACTCTGATATTTATATGAAAAAAGTACTAGACTAACGAGTGGTGCTAAATATAACGGCAAGGCCAAGACTAAGGATTATTCACAGATACCCTGCAAACATGGTGGCCACGTCAGTCTCTTAGATTGTGCAGTTGTGGAGACGATGATGCTACGTTGCCTGCCAACCACACACATGAATACGGGTGTTTTCCATCTCTGATTTTTTTTCTCATCCTTGAGGATCCAGTGGGTACCTTAGTTGCATAAATTACCTCCAGCGGGTCCTACTCTATCTCCTCTCAGCGTCATCTCAGGGCCTCATAAGAGCGAGGACTGAATCTTGTCGCGATTCTGCTCTAAATTCCTCATCAAACCTTTAGGCAGCAGTACTGCCACATGTTATCTTTTTCAGGCATGCCAATATAGCCCATTGCATTTGACGAGAAAAATAGGAATCAAATTTTCAAATCCCAACTCGGCGTACAACCTCTAAGGCAGCTAGCGGCCAACGGCACTCCATCTTCATTGCCCGCCGCCATGCCAAATCTTGGCAGAGCAAGAAGGAAGCTCAGTGTCTCCGTGGCCCCGCCTCTACCCTGATAGCGCAATCCTCGATGAATGACAATATGACACAACAACACCAGACTCCGGCAGCTGCAGGGCGTAGGCATTTCGTCGAACAGGTGTGCTGCGGGGTGAGTGAAGGCACCAACGCAGCACATGGAAGGGGAGGGTTGCTGGAGAGCGTAGGATGTCGAGGGGCGTAAAAGAAGTGGAGCTGTGGGTATGGCGAAGCTGCCGGATTTGGTGAAGACAAGCGGCGGCTAGGCACTGCCGCGGCAGGAGGAGAATTTGGGATTTCTGTCTCTTCCTCAAGTCTGACGCTATGGACGCATTGGTAGGTGTGATGTGGGCTTTCTTTCTGTATGGTCGATGTTCGCCACATACCAGTTCACTGCTCCTTCCATTTCTGTTTTATATTATACTAGTATGGTGCCCGTGCGTTGCAACGGGGCAAGAAAAATATATGCACACCTTAATATAGCACACAATGATTATATCACCTGATCATATCTTTATCAGATGAACTATCGGCCTTCGGAATATATTATACGACAAACATATTTTTTATTTGCATCGTGACGTGCATAACATATTATGGCGGCTTCATCAAAGCGTCATCGATGTGACCTAGTTGGACCGTAAAACTCAGCTATGCACATAGGCATAATAAGTCGTTTGCTTGCTGCCTTTCTCAGCCATTAGTCCGTAGCAGAGAAGACCAGCAGGGCAGGGGCGACGGTTGCGCAGCCTAGGCGTTAGGGTCGGCGGCGGCGGCACAGCTCGCTTCTAGGGAAGACCACGAGCAGGAGTGTTTAGCAGAGGAGGAGACATGTCGTCCAGGGAGCAGAGGAGATTGCGACGGTGAGAAGCAGCAGCGAGGAGGCGAATAGCACCGCGGCGGCGTATCTCCTCGAGTGTGAGAGAAAAAGGAGCTGGCGGTGACGTCTGGATCGATCTGTAACCCTAAATCCCCTTCTATTGCTGCCGCTGGACCCATGTGCCTGAGCCAGCGCGATTGGATTTCGCGGCCGCGCCATCACCTCCAATTTTCACAGCAACCCCATCGCGAAGTCGCCGCCTAGTCGCGCCCTGGCCCATCTCACCTAGACCGCCTATGACCATCCTTGACCGTTTAGCGGCTCTCCTGCCTAGCCAAGAGAATAACCCCTAAACGAGACGGGTTGATGGAAACTAGCGCCTAATCGCCATCTAAGCGGCCTGGACGGCTGTCCAGGCAAAAACTGACCATTATATCAAAATGGGTTGAACAACCCATGGATACTATTCCATACTACACAATAGCCTCATTGTTCCGTAGACTAGCTCAATGGGCAACGATGCTCTCAACCTCGCTGGCCTGCTCACCTTCCTTGTCCTCTAATTCGTCTGCTTCATCGACCATAACGTATCATAGGAATATACTCGTCCATGCGTGAAGAATTATGACACTTTCGCTGGGTAAAAAGTTAACCAAATTAGACATACATTATTATTTCACCCATCAACCAATGGAATCTGTACACGATCCCTATCACATATCTCCCCTATAAATATATTGCCAATGTCATAAATCACCACCAATTCACGACAAACAGGACATTGCCTTTTTCTTTCCTGTTCACTTCCTTTTGAAAGCATCATAAAAAATCATGATATATATATGCGTAGGACAGATTATATTTTAAAACGAAAATTATCTCCAGAGATTATGAATGAATGCTACAATTTTAAATCGACGGATAGAGACTGAATTTACATGATCAAATACAATCCATTAAAGACATGTATCAAACATCTGTCAATTTTTGCCGCATAATTTGCACCATCAATCTTTCTTTCTCAGATACCACGCAATTTGCACCATCAATCTTTCTTTCTCAGATACCACGCAAACCACTTGTGTTAGCATGCTTGTCTTGAAGAAGACCAAGGCTGGCAGCCGACCAATGTAAGTGGTGCTATGAGGCAGATGGATGATGGCAAGGTAACAAGTTCACAAGCTAATGGTAGAGAACTGAAACCCTGTTTACAAACATCCATTGCATAAGACAATATTAATGTCATAATATAGTAACAATATTTTTTGTGAACATGGCTTAGAAAATGAAAAGAATTTGAAATTGTTATTAACAGCCTTCGAAAAGCTTTCTGGCCTAAAGATAAATTTTTCCAAAAGTGAATTATTTTGTTTTGGTCATGCACAAGAATGTCAGGAACAATATTCCAATATTTTTGGTTGTAGGCTAGGAGTTTTTCCTGTCAGATATCTTGGAATTCCTATGCATTTTAGGAAATTAAGTAATAAAGACTGGAAAACAATTGAGCAAAGAATTGAAAAAAAACTTAGCAGTTGGAAAGGTAAACATATGTCAGTTGGAGAGAGATTGGTTTTGATTAATTCGGTGCTTTCAAGTCTAGTTATGTTTATGATATCTTTTTTTAGATCCCAAAACGAGTTCTTAAAAAAATTGATTATTATAGATCTTGCTTCTTTTGGCAAGGTGATGATCATAAAAAGAAGTATAGACTTGCAAGATGGGATATTATTTGTTAACCAAAAGATCAGGGTGGGCTTGTAATTCAGAATTTAGAAATACAAAACCAATGTTTATTGAGTAAATGGTTGTTTAAATTGATAAATGAGCAAGGTGTTTGGCAAGACTTATTGAAAAGAAAATACCTTAATAATCAAACAATAAATCAAGTTCAGAAGAAACATGGGGATTTTTATTTTTGGTCAGGTCTCATGAAAGTTAAGAATACTTTCTTAAATCTGGGTTCCTGGACTGTTAATAATGGTGAGCAAGTCAGATTTTGGGAGGATAAATGGCTAGGAAATTACTCCTTTAAGGATAGATACCTGTCTCTGTATTCAATAGTTCGAAGGAGAAACTTTTCGATTGCTTATGTCATGAGTACTGTTCCACTAAATGTTTCTGTTAGGAGAGCTTTAGTTGGTCAGAGGAAAGTAATATATTCCGATGGAATCTTCATCAAAATGGTCAATTCTATGCTCGTTCTATGTATCTAGCTTTAATCAACAATGGTTACATTGAGAGGAATAAGATCATTTAGAAACTTAAGATGCCTCTCAAGATTAAAGTTTTTATGTGGTACTTATTTAAAGGGGTTGTTTTAACAAAAGATAATTTGACTAGGAAAAATTGGAATGGTAGTTTGAGATGTTGTTTCTGTATAAAAGATGAGACTATTCAACATTTATTTTTGGAATGCCATTATGCAAAGTTTCTATGGAGAGCTTTACAAATTTTTTTTGGTTTATATCCTCCACACAATATTTCCATATCTTTGGGAATTGGCTTGGCTCGTGGGTATTGATAAAGGAACCAAAAAACTCATTCTTGTAGGAGCATCCGCTATATGTTAGGCTCTATGGTTGAGTAGAAATGATATGGTTTTTGACAAATCAGCATCTGTATCTTATATGCAGGTCCTTTTCAGGGCAACGTGCTGGCTCCGGTCTTGGGCTCAACTATAAAGGTGTGATGAGGACATCAAACTAATAAAATCTGCATGTCGACTACTTGAGACAACAGTTATGCAGCTTTTGGCCAACTTTGGTTGGAGGTTCACCAATAGGATTCAATAATCAATGGGTCTTTGTTTTGTGTGCTTATTTATTAGCTTGTGTTTCCTTTAGCCTTACTTGTATGTGTTTTTTAAGACTTTTTTGTGTGCTAGTTTGTGTGAATTTGTGTAATAATTGGCTGTAGCTACTTGAGCAAAGGCCGGGATTTTATTCCATTATCTAAAAAAGAGAAACACAATTAATGCTATCTCAATGTGAAATGGATATTTGCAGAACAATCTAATTCCAACTGATGGTATTTATAGTCATGCAATGCAGTCTGAAAATTACTATGTAGGCAGAGTTAGTACCTAATTCCAACACAATTTCCTTGTGCTTGATTAAAGAAAGTAAACAAGATTCACTTAGCATAGTGCCATAGTAACATGAAATGCAAATCGCAATTCATCTGCAATCCAATCATCAGACAGAGCACTTTATCACCCTAAATGGGATCACTGAAATTTTCATGAATGCAAACTAAAAGTAAAAAGTAAAAACGCATACATGTAATGGTACATATGGTCGATTCCAGTATCACATCGAAAGTAATTTACTGCTGTCCAATAAAAAAACACGAAATGTTACATATAACGTATAATAAGAATAATTACAAAAAGAAGGATCGTAAGCAAGCATCAGATTGGTTAATTAGTAACATAATATACCTTGACTATTTTGTGAGAACCTCACTATACACAATATTTTTTTTGTGTATGTTGCAGTCTGTTTAGACAGTTCCTTACTTTTGTTCTCATTGTCTGTGTAGGAAAGGTTCAGGAAAAAAAATACAGAAAAAATATTGCTTTTGTCTAGGAAAGGGTCAGAAAAAAAACAGAATACATATTGCTATTGGCATTTGAATTTTAGTTCTAAATCCATGCACACAACAAAGGAAATTTTTTTTGACCAAACGAGGCATTCAACAGCTGCAAACAATGTTAAGAAATTGGCTCTCAAAAACTGCATGGTTATGTAATCAATACTCATTCAGCTGCATGATTGTCTAGCCTCAAGTGCATTTTTGCCTCCACTTTTAGCCCCCCAAAAAAACCTAAAGGCATTTCATCGAGCACTATGGGAGCAATGGGACGAAGCAATGTACCTGTGGTGAGTGTTGGGCGATGCTGTCAATGTTTTGCCGGCCTAACCGACCCTGCCTCGACGTGGTGGGATGCGAGATCCAGAGGCGTTTGCGGCGGGTAGCTGATGTTGGCACCAGCGTTGCCCTGCAGTAGCTTAGATTGTCAGAATTAGTTAGTATTTCTGAGAATCATAAAGAAGCAATTTTCATACAAGTAAATAAACATGGACAGATGCATAGAGCATGTGTCATGTAAAAGTCAATACTGAAACACATTATCCAAATAGCCATATTATGATGAGAATTTATATAAAATGGATAACAAAACAAAGTTGTAATATTCCAGTCAAAGATCTGGCATTACAAAGGGGTCATCACTGAGTTAAGTACTTCCTCTGTTTCACAATGTAAGACTTTCTAGCATTGCTCACATTCATTTAGATGTTAATGAATCTAGACATATGTATGTGTTTAGATTCATTAACATCTATATGTATGTGGGTAATGCTAAAAAGTCTTACATTATGAAACGCTCACATTCATTTAGATGTTAATGAATCTAGACATATGTATGTGTTTAGATTCATTAACATCTATATGTATGTGGGTAATGCTAAAAAGTCTTAATTATGAAACGGAGGGAGTATAAAACAATTTATCTATAACCAATCAAGGAAAGGAATTCTTATATTTTTATCCAATTTTATTAACCAGAGGTTAGCTCACAGGATGTTGAATGATGGGCCAGCTAACAATGAACTCCCCGATGTCCTCTTTTGACCCGTAATACAAGAAATTATTAAAATGCACAAAACTAAACTAAGCTACAACACATGCATTTTTTTAAAGTTTCCCATGGCAATGATCATTGATCAACCCATTATTTTTTTTTTCTGAACGACACTATTCACTGATCTAATAAACCAATTGACAGAGGGGTACCCAGTCACGTTGACAGAGGGGACGGATCAAAGTAATTGAATATTAAAGGAAATTGAATATTTAACAGGTAAAATATAAGTTATGCTGAGCTCAGCAGCATGGTGTATAGGCAAATTAGTATAGACAATAATTCACATTAGCATCAGTGAGCAGCAATCTGAAAACTTAACATGCCTCAGAGGTAGCAACACCTACTGGGCATGCATTTTTAATCTGACATTCTAATAGCAATATATATCATCATGACCTTTCTGGAATAACTTATAACTTCTATTTGAACCATCATTCAGAGTATCTTAAGAGCATGACCAACAGCCACCCAAAATTCAATCCCCTAATTGTACACGTTTCTCTGAAAGTTATGAAAGTAGAAGGCCTGACCATCTACCATGTAAAGAGTCATTTACAGGTAGCACTTTATATACAATTATTGTTTTTACTGGAAAATCAACCTTCCTTTTATGTTTTCATTTATGCTCACAATTTCCCTGTCCTCATTGTGCAGAAGTATCGCCTCGCAAAATATCTTCCAGAGACTAAGGAAGGTAAATTGAGAAAATAGTTGCTAAGTATTTGATACTTCATTATGAAAAGAGATGTTTGTCTGATTTTCTGGTGTCATTATAACTTCTGATGCATGCATTCTACTACCATTCCTTAGGAACTTACAAGTGGCAGAAGCTCTGCGAATGCAAATTGAGGTTCATAAGCAGCTTCATGAACAGTTAGAGGTGCGTACCAGAAATTTTCTGATGTTGAAGTAGTATCACTGTTCATCTGCCATCACTATAGTGGATTTGGTCAAAATCAAATACTATGCTGCAAGCGTTCAGTAAAGAAATTTTCAGTTAAATCAGTGAGTAACACGAAGAATTGTGTTCCACATCCCTAACATGGCTGAATAAACACAGAGACGAGAGATGAATAAACACAGTATAATACCATTGATTTAAATTGCTCCCAGGATCCTCCCGCAAAATACAAATAATCTCGGCTCAGGTATGGGGTTGATTGTGGCGGTTAGTGAAACCGGCGGCCGTCGATCTCCGACGGGCAGGGGGCAACGGGTGGATGGCCGGCGAGGTTGGAAGGGGATAGTGAGGGGAGGGATGAGGGCGGATGGCCGGAGAGGTTCGAAGGAAATGGTGAGGGGAGGGATGAGAACGCGCAGCGCTTAGGGGAATCGCAGGGCGGCGAGGTTGGAAGGGGAGGCGGCCACCGATGGTGAAGGGAGGGATGGGGGCGCAAGTTAGGGGATGCACGGAGGGCGGTGCGATATCGTTGCAATGGGCGGAGGGGCAGCGCGGAGGAGATCGTTGTCGGTGGCGGCGTGGATCGGCGCGACGGGCGGAGGCGCGCGAGCAGAGGAGGCGGCGGCGAAGGGAGCGGGGAGAGCGGTTGGGAAGAGGGGCGTGATGGAGGGAGCCGAAAGGGGAGAGGACACACACACATGCGAGGATGGAGAGGGGAGAGGGGAGAGGGGAGAGGGTGCGCGCGTGCGGTGCGAGGGATCGCGGAGAGATTGGGCGTCTGCGAGCGTTGATTTTGCAGGAGGATCCTTCAAGCAATCTTAACCTTTGGTTTATTTTTAAATAGTAAGGTCAAACTTCTTTAAATATAACTAAATTTATAGAAAAATATATTAATATTTTCAACACAAATGTTAGGTTTAATAAAACTAATTTAATATTTTAGATATTGTTAAATTTTTCTATAAACTCTATCAAACTTAACAAAATTTGATTAGAAAAAATTCAAACCAGTTATAATATGAAACGGAGGGAGTAGATATTACTATCGTGCGCTTGGGTAACGGCAGATAGCACAACAATGAAAAAACTCTCGGACAAACCAAATAAATGAAATGATCACGTGCATGTTCTATCAAGGAGACCATGACAATTAATATATATATATATATATATATATATATATATATATATATATATATATATATATATATATATATTCGGAATTTATAGTTTCATTTGTTGAGACTAGAAAAATTGCTCATGCGTTGCAACGGGAAGAAAAGACGAGAAAATTAAGGAAAAGTTGAGAAATATTTATATTATGTAATTAATTAATTGAAATACAAAATTTTTGGAATATTTGGGTATTTTTTAAGTAGGTAGGTGTATAATTAAATTAATTTATAAGTAAAATAAGTGTGGGAAATAAAATGATATGGTTAGATTAAATTTTTATTAATTTTTCATAGCTTAATTGCTAATTCCGATAATACAAACCTTATTTCAGTATTTATTTAAACAAAAATCTAAATAAAAATCTTCATTTCTCTCTGGGTCACTATTAGCCATTTTCTTTCTCAGCCCGCAAAGGAAGTCTAATGAACGTCCCTCAACTCCTCCTCTCACTGTCGTTTGGGCCCAACCGAAAGTCTAACGTGCATTATGTTGGACCCGCCAGCTTGCGTGCGACCCATCAAATGTGCGCGGCCCAGCAACGATGCAGCCCAACAATGGAGGCTGGCCCAATGCGGGATTGATCTGAGCCATTCGTTTTGATGGACGGCTCAGATCGGTTCCAAAATCAATCAAAACCGTTGGTTGCAAAAAAACCCTAACCCTAATTCACTCTTCTCCTCCCCACCACCGTCAGCCGCCTGATGTGACCATGGCTACCACAGATGCAACCATTGCTCACGTCATGGATGAACAAGAAGATATCAAGATCAAGTCCTCCAAGTGCTGGAATCCGATTCGGCCACCTACTACACTGCTGACTTCAAACGGCTGCCGAATCTGCATACGACCTCCGTTTTCGGCCCGTGAGTACTTGATGGAAAGCTCTTGGAGTCCTCTTTCCAATGGATCCAGCCTCATTGCGAAATTCCATCTTATTAAGCCGCAATTGAAGCAACAAGGTGCTGCGTCACCTATAATGGGCCTATGGGCTTGTAACTTCGTCTGGGACCCTGGCCCAGGTGGGGCCCATGTGGGGTGCGCCCAGCCAGGTGGAGCACGACCCTAGGCACCCCTAGGTCGTCCTCCCACCCCTATTTATATAGTTAGGTACCCCTTCAGGGTTTCTTGGGTTTTTGTTAGATTAAAGTTTAGCCATTGCTACTTGCTTGCAGCGCGCGTGTCGGCTAGACCGTCCGTCTGCTTGTTCTTCGGAACCCCAACTTATCATTTGTATTAAATTCCTATTTGCAATATCAGATTGCTTTTATCTTGTTCTTGCTTGTTTCTTCGATTTGCTTGCAGGAATAGGGTTGATCTGCACCGGCAAGATCAGCAACCCACGGAGAGGTGTATCGATCGCTAAGGCGCAACACAACGTCTCGTACGGTTGTAGTCGGATCGTCAACGTTTCTCCCAAATCGTAGTTATCACAACTCACCGAAAGATCGGGCCAACAACAGCCTTGAGTGTCGAGAGGAACTCAGGGTTCATCAGGTGGTCAAGGTGTATCGATCGCTAAGGCGCAACACAACGTCTCGTACGGTTGTAGTCGGATCGTCAACGTTTCTCCCAAATCGTAGTTATCACAACTCACCGAAAGATTGGGCCAACAACAGCCTTGAGTGTCGAGAGGAACTCAGGGTTCATCAGGTGGTATCAGAGCTTTCGTTGCTCGGTGAGTTTTTTATCTTCCTATAACCAGAAAATAGCCATACAAAAAAAATTGTATCATTTACCTAGCCATATTGTGCCATTGCATTGTTCTTTTCAGTCTTTGCTTTGTTGAATTTTGTGTTGCATCGTCACGTCGTGTTGCTGGTCTTAGCGTCTAGTTCGTTTAGAGTTTCGAGTTCTGGTCACGTTTTGTACCACAGTCGTCGCTGCCACCGTGTCTCTGTTGTTGTCGGGACCTACGAAAACGGAATCGGCTCGCTGCCAAGGTTCTATTTTTGTAGTTTTCAGAAGTTTCTGTCGGTTAGTTTTGGAGTTCTTGAGTTGCATCTAGAGTTTGCCGATCCTTGTGTGTGTTTGTTTTGGCCGTGCCTGTGTCGTGCACGAGAGGAGGAAGGTAAATTACCATATCTGATTTTGGAAGTAGTCAAGTTTGTTTTGGAAAGATATAGTAGATTGGATTGGTTAAAAAATCAGTTTCCTTTTTATCCCATACACCAAATTCGGCTGCCATCCACTCCACCTCCTGGCCGAGTCCCACTCGCCCCTTTGGCCGAGTCCGACTCCCTCCCTCTCTTCCACGGTTCCGAGTTGTGTCAAACACCTTGGCGAATTTTTGTTTGGTGTCGGTTTCGAGATCTGTTTGGAAAAACGGAACCGGCATAAATTCAGCATTCCATTTTTTTGTATAATTTTAATTTTGGGTTTAGACTTTTACATTTGAGTCCCTGTAAATTTTATATTTATGTTTGAGTCCCTGTAATCTTACATTAAGGTCCTTGAGTCAGTTTTTGTTAAAAAAAATCAAGAAAAAAGTGAGAAAAAAAAGGCAGAAAGGTGCAAAAAAAAAAAGAAAAAAAAAAGCCGCACAAAAAAAAACAGAAAAGAAAAGGAAAGAAAAAAAAAGAAAAGAAGAAAGAAGAAAGAAAGAAAAGAGAAAATACTGTTATGTTTGAGCTGAACTTCATATATCAGAGTTGTGCATGAGTTGTTCCTAGTGCTATCTTGTGGTATCGTTTGTGTCTAGGCTCGCGTCTCTAGTACGTTCTAGCCTAGGACCAGCACGGTACTCGACTTTGAACAATTATTCAACTTTGCATTATCTGATTTGAGCATTTGCTATTCCTTTGCTACATATTTAAGCCTACCCAGAGCTCCACATATTTGAATACAGCCGTACCGCAAGTGTTTGCCAAGGCATTGATACATCCAACCTTCATTGGGGTGCTTGGTTGAGTCGGTGTATGTCACCATTCCACTTGCATTGGTAAGATCTTGTAAGAGCTTGGTTAAAAGCTTGAGTGTGTGCGATTTTTGAGCTGCCACTACCTAGTAGTTAATAGGAACGCGCATATTTTTGTGTATGTTTCTTGTTTTCTACTAACAATTGCAGGGATACACAAGATAATTGGGGATAGCTGTGCTCAACATCGACATCTTCGTCGAGACATGAGGAGGGATCAACATGACCATTATGAGGTAAGTGATGATGTTCTAGGTAAGATCAAATCTGCACTGCCTTATTTCGAGGGAAATTATGATCCTCGTGCTTACATTAATTGGGAGCTAGCGGTTGATAGTGAATTTCAAAATCATGTCTTGTCGGAGAAACAAAAGGTTATGTGTGCCTCTAGTGTTTTAATTAAACATGCTTCTAATGATTGGAAACATCTTTGTAGGCATAACAAAATACCACAATCTTGGAAAGACCTGAAACGATATTTCAGAGATGTTTATGTTCCCATGTATTATGCTGACATTTTGTTCAACAAACTGCAATGTTTAAAACAAGATACCAGAACTGTTACTTCATACTATCATGATATGCAAGCTTGTTTATTACGTTGTGGTTTAGATGAATGCGAAGAAGCTAAAGAATTGAGGTTTTTATTTGGGCTTAACAAAAAAATTCAGGACATGCTTGATTGTCAAAGATATACATCTCTTTCTCATTTGTTACAACTTGCTTGCAATGCTGAAAGTAAAATAGAGGAGGACATGAAGAAGCAACATGCTATGTTTTTGTCTTCTATTACTAACCATTTGCAGGAAGTGCATAATCATGAAAAGGAGGAGAGAGACATGAAAGAGCCGCCAGTCCCATTGATCACACTCAAAGTCGAGGCACCTCCATTATCTGAAGAGGGCATCAAAGGTAAACTTAATGGTGCTGAAATTAATAAAGGTGAGTGTGTTGTTAATGAATTGCATTCGTCCACTTTTTATGCTATAGCAGAGCAACCATTAGTGGAACCAACTGCTGGAATTCCTTTGTCACAAGTTGATTTACTCGCTGTTCTTTGTGATAAAGAAGAGTTGTGTGATAATGCTTCACTTATATCCATGCCACAACTAGTGAATGAACATGCTATTTCTAGTGTTTCTTTATGTGCTGATTTTAAGCATGTTGTTCATATTGCTAATGAAGTACAGGAACGTAAATTGCTATCTTCTTTAAATACTTTGGGCTATGTTCAGTTTGATGATTTTTGTGAGCTCGATAATTTGAAGAAGAAATTATTTGCTAAGTCTGATTTGCCTTGTCCAACTACTGCTATTTTTCATATATTTGGCGAATCTGATAATAGAGGAATATATTTGGTGCATAGAGTTTACATATGTTCAGATTTAGAACCTCCTATACATGTGGATAAAACATGCAAGCTAGAGCGAAATGTTATTGCTAACCAAATTGTCTCGAGTTTGCCTTGTTTTGACTGGAAGAAACAGGTTGTTGTAAATGGACTACGCAAAGAGCACCATATGGAAAAACCGAGGACGGTTTTCCGTGAAGAAGGGGAGGATGATGTGACCATGGCTACCACAGATGCAACCATTGCTTACATCATGGATGAACAAGAAGATATCAAGATCAAGTCCTCCAAGTGCTGGAATCCGATTCGGCCACC